TCAAATCCCTATTTTGACTCCATATCTACAGTACTTATTAAGTTTAATGGAGTCAAAATAGGGATTTGAAGCTTCACAAACTTGTGTAGACACTATTTACAGCCTTGTTTGTTTACTTTTTTTTAGAGTCCCTAGTAATAAGCTTGAAAATGTAATCTTTGCCTTTTGATTCAACTTGTTTCTGTACTTTTTTATGATCCCTATTCCTCATTTTTAAATTATCAGTTTTTACTAATCTTGTTTTAAACTTTTATGTGTTTTGTTTGAAATAAAAAAAGTTTTATTGTAACACACAACATAAATCATTTATTTGCAAATTAAGCATTATTTCACAAACACATTAACTTCAATATTTCTCATTATTAGCATCTCTAAAACTTTCATTTTACTTTAAATCTAATAAAAATTGGTAGAGTAACTTACAGAAGAATTGAACCTTTTGTAGCAAAGAGGGTGTGGTACTTTCTTTGCTTGCTGGTGCAGGAACTTTGATGAATGATTAATTTGAGTTAAAGGCTAACTAAGTATACCCAAATTAAAACTAACTTACTGATTACCTGTATATATATATGATAAAGATTCCTTTTATTTTCACCAGAGGCAAAATTGAAAAGAGAATTTGTGATGTGGAGGCCTAATGCATTCCTTGACTGGCCATATCCTCTGCTGTGACTGCAGTTTTGCTTATTCAAGGCTCATCAGCATGAAATATCATAACATTATTTACATACCTAAGTTAATTTAGGTTACTGTATTTTGAAGTAAAATGGACTCAAAAACACAGATATGACTGATTAACTGTTATATTATGGCTTATATTCTGTCTATACTTCTGATGTAGGTTTGGATTTGGTTTTGTTAATAAGGATATTCTAGAACTTTTATCTTCACAGGCATATCATATGACTTTCCATATTTTACTCTTTACTGGTACTATCATCTTGATCCCTCCATGATAAGCCCATGAGACATCACTATATAATTTGTAGACCTGTCAAATACCAATGATGATATTACCCTGTATGTCCATGTTTGTTGCATTTGAATTAACCACAAACAAGCCTACAAGCTTAATTTAGCTTGACCGAGATGTTATGATAACAGCTATCATAGTTTGTTTTTCTTTGCTGAGCTTCTTCCCAACCTTTTGTGGCTCTCGCACCCATCCTCTAAAAAGTGTGCATTAGACATTTCCTCTTGGTGACATTTGGAGGCAAACGGACTTTGTATAGTACTCTTTCACACACACTGACCCTCATTTTGCACCCCCCCCCCCCATTGGGTGCCAACACCCCTGTTCTAGAAGGATGGGAAAACAATGTTTTTAAATTTAATGTATCCAGTTTATTCATATGTATGTACTTTCTTGTTTAGACTAAACTAGCTATTCTATACTGCCTGAATTAATTTACTCTGTAGCTATAAAGTAAATAAATTGTCAGTAATCATATGTTAAACAATTTTTTGATATACATTTTACCTTAAACTTGAAAAACTATTTCATTCCTTCCCTCTTTCTTTAATGATTATTACTGAAAAAATATTCCTAAAAGACTACAAAATTCCATCCTTTTGTGCGATTTCCTTTAATATGGTGATGATGTTTCTTAATTTAAATGTGAATTTTCAGTTAATTTTTCACATACTTTTTATGTTCATTCAGTCAGTATTTCAAATCTTTCTTATCTAAGTACCGCCACTTGTATATTCTGTTTTGTATCTAATCAAAAACACCTCAGGTGTGAAAAAAAGGTGCAGCCAAAAAAGGATTCAGCTTATGACTTAATGAAATGAAAATTGGCAGCCAAACTGGTAGCTACACTTACAACATTGATAAGAATTTGACAGCAAATATTCATTCATTACTTAGCTAGGCCACGTATTTTGTTTTACCTACCATTACTAACCAATTCTTATCTATCTGCACATCCTTTCACCTTATAGTTTTGCTGCTCTAAGTCAGCTATCTTTAATCCAAATAACAAAAAAATTAAAAACAGTCCACTTTTACTCTTAGCTGAAGCTGTTGTAAAAATATTTGACTGATAGCTCACGTGACTTTTTACATAAACCTCCACTAAAATTTTCGTATCCTTTGAGCATTTTTTGTTGAATAACTTTGCACATGTGGCTTATATTTACACCAAATGAGACCAAATTTGAAAAAATCCATAAAAGTTAAGTATATTTTTTCTATCAAATAAAGTTTCTTTACTTTGGTGTGAAGAAGAAAAAAAGATGAAGAAACTCGATCAAAATTGGAGATGTTATATCTCGGGTATTTCTTAATGGATTGCCTTGAAATTTGGTATGTGAAGTAAGAGTCCAGTAGAGCATATCCTCTGACAACATGT